ATTAACACACAACTTTGTGTAATTCGTCATTGTCACGTCGTGGATCTTTCGATATCACACTTATCGATTTATTTATTGATTTATCGATTTGCTGCCCACGACGACGAGCACATGACAATGACGACTACATGAAAGAATGTCCTTTCGTGCGTGTACGGTGGTTTTCGGCTGCACTGAGCCGAGGAACGTGGACTTCTGAGTTCGTCGCTCGACTCGGTTATAGTCGGGTGAAATGTGTGCATTTTTTCGTATTTTTGTGTGACATATTGGTTGTCGAAATACCTGACTATTGGCGACAGTGGAATCAAGGCGGTTATGGTGGTGGAGCTACTCTATCGTGCTTCCGGAAATAATTCAAATTTTCTGAATTTGCGTGATTTTTTTTTGTTATACGATTATAACCAATGATATTCGGTTGAGTAGTACCATTCCATAGCTGCCGGATTACGGTAGAAATACGGTAGCAAGATCGGGACACGACGACCAATGTGGCATACGCACGAGTGGCGAAACAGCATGATGATGCACATAATTCATCCGGCAGCAAGCCGTAAATACCGCCCAGTCCTGTCCGAACACACGAGACAACACATATAAACTGACCAATTACCATCTGACACGTCATATCGTATTGCGCATGCGTTTGCTGTATTGGCGCGCTCTACTCGCTGTAGAGCGCGTTATATACGCAGTACAAACGCAAAAACAATGCAGTATGACGAAAAAATGTCAGAAATGGATGATGGCAGTGGACTGACTGTGCGGTATTTACAGGCTTGCTGCAAGTGGTGCACCGTTTCGCGTACGCGAGCGACGAACTGGGGACGAGTTCCTGGCACAGCTGAAACCACTGAATGATGCGCTACAAAGGGACGTTGACATGTACAATTGTGTGGATCACGAGAATATTGTGAGATTCCACGAAGTGATCAAAGATGATGATCTCGCATTGATCGTCTACGAAGAGTGAGTCTTCTAAAATTTTCTGGAATAAGAAGACCTAAAGAAAACATAGAAAATTGAGAATGAAATGGAAAAACATCAGAAAATGTTATACAGCAAGGCACCCGTCTTCTGCGAAGAAAGGTGGACTATAAACTGGTAACCCATAAT